TCTGCTCCACCTGACTTGCACTGCCTAGGGCCACTGCCTGACATTCTTGCTGGACAATTGCCCCACACTGGGCTCATTCTCTATGGTCTTAGATGCTTCAGATCCTCTCTTTATACAACTGGTGGAACAGTGGACATTTCTAAAACAGAAATCTGACCATTCTTCTGCTTAAGACCACGCAGTAGCTCTCTTGTACTCCCGGAGTCAGATCCCTGAGATCCACGATGTGGCCCCACCTGCACAGTTCCTCAGGCTCTCCCTAGCGAATTCTCTTTTTTGAAACAACCTTGGAGCTACTTCTGAGGTCCTGTATGTAGTACAGTGATTTCAATTCCCAAACTATCCCCCCAAAATGTATTTTTAGGTAAATGATGGTACATCCATAACATGGAATGCCACATAGGAAATAAAAGTGATTAGTAGAATAATAATAACACTACCTCAACCATTGGTGGTGTTGGGAAATTTAACTTTATCCTTTATGCTTTTCTATGTTGTTAAGATATTTACAGTGACTGTACATTACTTACAGGGAACGAGTGTTTATCCTTCTTTTAAAAATTGCTAGGTGATCGTGATCATGTTTTGTGTGTGTGTCCCATCCTTAAAGGCAGTAGACCAGGTTCCATTTCCAACCCCACGATCTACACACTGTCCCATGGAAAGTTACTTAAGGGCCCTGAGTTGAACTTCCCTCATCTGTCCATATCTATATCACAGGGTCGTGGAGTTCTTTTGGTGAGTGTGTGAATATCACATAACTTGGGTTATGTCACAAATTTAATGGGATATTTTTAAACGTTAAATCGTTGCTGTTCTGCCACACTTTCTTCTCTCTGCATCCTTTCCCTCACCCTCAGTCAGCTTTCTGTGGGCACTGCTCTGGGCTGTGGGAGAGTGGCAGGCAGTGCTGGTGAGAGGACATAGCCACCCCAGAACAAAGACTGTCCCGACTTTGAGTGCATGATTAAGGCCTGGAAATTCTGACTTTCACTTGCAAGGCGAGGCCCAGAAGACAGAAGTGTTTTTCTGTCCTGCATTCGTTAGCTGACCACAGAGACCAATCTGTCAAGTCAGCCTAGAGTAGAGCTACCCAGCTGACCCAGAGAATCCTCAGAAATTTCATTTTATTTATTTATTTTAAAATATTTTTAGTTATTTATTTTTAGAGAGAGGGGAAGAGAGGGAGGGAAACATCGATGTGCAAGAGAAACATGGATCAGTTGCTTTGCACAAGCCCCCAACCCGGGACTTGGCCCACAACCCAGGCATGTACCCTGACCAGGAATTGAATCAGAGACCTCTTGGTTTGCAGGCCGGCACTCAACCCACTGAGCCACACCAACCAGGAGAAATTTTAAAAAGTGATAGTTACTTTGGGCTACTGAGTTTTAGAGTCACTCATCACTAAGCAACAAATAACACATGAGACTTGTTTTTTTAATATATAATTTTCTCCACAAAGTGTGCAGCACTAGTGATAAATTTATGATACTTACATAGTTTTGTTCTGATTTTAAATATAACCTTTAAAATTACACTGTATAAATGTTTATTGTAGATGTATAGGATGCAATTGATTTTTGGACTTTGAACCTTGCTAAATCTGTTAAGTCTAACACTTTGTGTTTATGTTCTCTTGGGCTTTCTCTGCAGAAAGTCATTATTTGCAGTGTGATCCATGTGTAAATCATCAATATCTACCACATTAAATGAGGTGTAGAATGACAGCCTTAAACAGAGCTGCTTAGTTGGCTCTGACTGCTGAGTAAGTGTCCTCTCACCTGCATCTGCTCGCTGGTTTGCAGGGCAACTAGGCAACAGCCAGAGGGTCAGGTGATGACATGGAGACTCCCAGTGTCCCATTCAATAGACCGTTTTCAGTACAGGGAGCATTTCAGCTTCTTCCACTGGCCAGCAGTTTGGGGAATGGCCCTGATGATGTCACATAACTATGATTTGCTTGTTTCGTCTATACTTTTTTTATTGTCATCCTGTTCACTCTAGTTTCCTTTTACCACTCTCTTAATTCTCTATCTATCTATCTATCTATCTATCTATCTATCTATCTATCTCTCCCCTACCCTGTCTCTCTCTCTCACTCCCTCTCTTCCTGCCCCAACTTGTCCCACATTAATTCCCTCTTCCCTATTTCTTCCTGCTCTTGGCCAAGCAAGGCACTCAAACAGAAAATGAAATGGCAACTTCAAATCATTGTTTCAAATCACATCTGCAATATGCCCATCCCTACCTAATGCCACAGATTGGTAGGGATTTACCACCAGAGAAAGCCAGACAAAATCTCCCTAAAGATGATTATGGGCCACCACCCCCCTCCTGGAGGGTCCCCATGACAGCAGCAGGGTACAGAGGTATCACCAGAAAATGGCTCAAAGTCCAAAGGCCTACAAAAACCCAGGCTTTCATTTCTCTGTGAAATCTGTACTTGGGGTGCACAGATGCAAGAAGCCGGGATTAGCTGGGCACCTGGAGAGAGAATAGGCTCAGAGGGTTGTTCTGAAGTCCCTGGAATTCTTACAATTAAATGAAGTTTTAATTTGTGACTGGTGACCTGGTCTTGGCCTGCCCTCCTAATCTCCGCTTTCTGTTTTTTCCATCACAGAACCCCTTTAAAGTTGCCAGGAGCACAGGATTGCTCAAGGTTCCTCCATGGACCACAATCTCCCACCTGTGCACCTTCTGCAGCTTCCTTGATTGGAAGTCAGCCCTATCCTCCCTACCTCTCACACGCCCAATCTCCAGCCCCACCAGGATGACACCTAGCTTTCCATAAGGCTTCCGTAGACACCCCTTTGCCTTGAACACTTCCTTAGCACAAATGGATGCTCAACTCAGGTTTACTGAAATGACTCAGTCACCTGGTTGTGACCAGAAGCAGCAGGAACTGGGACAATCCAAGTTGTAGAGTTGGGATGACAGACACCCCTAACAGTTGAAGAAGTGTAATTCAGTGGAGAGTGGGGTTCTGGGGAAATGCAGCTTTGTGCTCAGCATGGCACCCCCACCCCAGCAGCCTGCCACCTTAGGACCCCTCCCTGGGGCCATTCTGTCCAGATTTATAGAGTCACCTCTCTCCCCAGCCAGTTCTTTCACTGTCTCCCCTCTGAACGAAGACAACAAACCACTCATACGTGCAGAGTTATCAGGCTGACCGTTCACCGAGGATGCTAATCCTATTGCCTACAGCCAAAGGAATGGAATCTTCTCTAAGGAATGGGAAATTGCAGGGTGAGGGTGGGAGGCTCTTGGTAAAAGTCCAGAAAGAGGTATTTTATTCAGATGGCTCATCATTTGCCCAAGTCCAGTAAAGGAACCATGTGCAATACAGAAAGGTAAGAACACTGTTCTCTCTATGTTATTCCTCGGAGTAACGGCACCTTCTTAAAATGCTGATGTCAGAGGATTGAAATCACCCAAACCTATAAGGTAATCACAGAACAAGGAGAGAAGGGCACTAGGGCACATGAGACCATACAGATGGCTCTGTACAACACTGTCCCCACCAGAATAAACAGCTGTCACAGGTACACAGACCCTGTGATCAGCACTAAAATATACAGGTTCTGCCCTAAAAAATTCAGTCTAGTGGAGCAAATATGATGTAAACAATGGGGACTGCTAGGTTTGTTGATCATTCTAACTTCAAGAGTCATTGGAGTCCATGGTATAGAAGAGCAACCACAAGAAGGTGGAAATCAAGGTAACTGTCACTCAGGGGAATTATGAAAATTAACAATATCCACTGTAAATCAGTAATATTACATACTATTAAGTAGAAGGCTGGTAAATGCTGACCCCAGGACATGCAAATGTAGGGTGGAGGGACATACCACAGAAGACTTCTTTGGCATTAGATGCTCACTCTCTTCAACTAGGTTACTAGAAAGTGAATTTACCTCACATTCACAGAGATGAATAGGGGAAACCAGTTTGGACTTAAACAAATCAAAATAAACAAACAAAAGCCCCACAGAAGACCCCCAAAAGAAATCCAATAGCCTGGAACATTTTTTGGATGTGACAGATTCAGGAAGCTGGGTCCCAGCCTTGGTTTCTGGGAAAACAGTGCTGAATCCAAGGCCCCCCAAATGCAGGTGTGTTAATTATACATCACAAAACAGAGGTGCCCTGTTTTTAATCATTTATCAAACATGTTAAAAGGAAATGGAACATTAGCAGTGAGCTTCTTAAACTGTAATTTCCTATAAGAGAAATTTATGGCCTGCACTTGATCTCCATTAGAGTACATCTCACTTCTTTTATTAGTTTATTCATCAAGGCAGCCCTAGGTTCAGGCCAGCTCCACAAACCCAAGGGTCATCAAGAAAGGGATCTCCAGGGGATTTTTCCTGCTGGTCCAGTAGAGTTTTCCAGATCATAACACAGTCGACAGAAGCAGTCATGGTGCATTCGGCAGGAGGCTTTTAGGTATTCCCCAAAAGGCAATTCACAGAGCAAGCCCCAGGGGCTATACTGGCTATAAAGTGAACATCTAAAATGTACTTCGAAATGAAATGATTTTCTGTTTGCCATATGAGGTTTGTGATTGCCTCTCAAAAAGCATTGCTTCTATTGCTTTTACGGCCAGGTTCAATTTCTTATTTAGTGTTGTAATAAAGGAGTGATTTAGAACTGAGAGCAAGGACTTCCGAATCAATGAGCAGATGTATCCCTCATCCGCTGTGCACCTCTCCCCATGATGCTGAGCTCATTTCCTGATTTCCAGGCAACCCTCACAGTCCCCCAAACTGGGGACACAGGCACAGCTATTTCTCTCTCTTTACCACAGAGTCCCCAGCCCTGCCAAAGAGAGAACCCAAATCCTACTCCGGGTTTTCTTAGGATCTCTGGGGTGCATCACTCTTTCTGTGAATAATGGAACTTTAACTTTATTGTGATGAAAGTGAAACACACCTACTATTTACAAATTGGCACTGGGGACCAGAATGAGAGGGGAAAAAAGAGAAAGAACATCCTACCTTGTTTTAAGGATATTCAGAAACTGCAAAATCTCTGAAAACTGGATCAGTCTGAGAGCTCTTAAAAATCTCAAACCTGGAAAGAAAAATGAAAGAGAGACGCATTATTTTCAGTGTGTGGTGTTAATGTTTTCACTCTGATGTGCGATTTACAGCTGCCATGGTTGAAGGAAGATGGAGTTCTCATAGAAGATTAAACCATCATTACCTTGCACATAGTCCTTCATCCCGATTCTCGACTGGTTTAACCTCAGCTGCTAAACTGACTCTCATCAGAGGAGGCCTGTTTGGAGGCACTGTGAAGGAAGGTCTGGTGGGGACAGCCCTGTTTAGGGAGGTTTCTCTGTGTCTATCCCCAGTCTAAAGCACTGTTTCAAAGTTACCTTGTCTTCTGAGAGGATTTGTCTCCGAAAATTACTGGGAATAGCTCAGGGTAACCATTATGCTAAGGGAAGATTAGGAACAAATAGGATAATCTGATGTCTTTGATGGATTTTTAAAATCTTATCCTCGGTTCTAATTAAATGAAGAGCATGGCCCACAGCATTATCTCTTTTCTAAGTTCTCACACCCATAACTTTAGGATTCAAAATTTACACAATCCCACTTTCACTAAGTGTCAACATAAATGTTTCTCTTTTCTAAATCAGCAACCTCTCTTGAATGGAGAACAAGAGCCAGTGTCTCTAGATGGCAGAAGAGAGAGGAAGACGAGGGGGAAAAACACAATCTAGGATCAAAGATAATTCAAATGAGTGCTGTGCTTTAATAGCCAAAATACATTTCTGTTGATAGCAAATCCGTGAGTCAAGAAACACCCTGAGTCACTCATGGGCCTTAACGCTGGGCTGCTGTGCAACAAACAGACTTGCTCACTGGTGACTGCGGCTTCAAGACACTTTCAATATCACGTCCTCTCTCGAAGGTATTTTCCTTTGCAGATTTTCCTAAAGCATTTTAACTCAGTGCCCCACGTGCTATGGGTTGCTGAGCCCCAGGTGGGCTAAGTTGTTGACAGTAGTGAGACTATTCTGACCCCATACGTGAGGGGTCATCTAATGCACAGTGGTGGGAAGCAGAGGTGGTGATTCGCTAGACACCCCAGGATGAATCAAGGGAAGCAGACAGACCAGATGTTTCCCCTAAACAGCTCCACATGTTCAAGCCTAAGGTACAGGGAGAGCTCATTTAAAGTCCATGGGGTGGGGAGAGGGGATGGGCCTGCACAAGAGCTAAGGAAGGATAATGGCTCAAAAGGGAAATTTCTCTCTGAACAGGATTTACCTTCATGAGCCAAAGATGCTCTTCAGAAAACATTTGCCTTCTATTTTAAATGATGTTTATGTTACTTTTATTAAAAAAGGAAGTGTAGAGATGAGAAAGGATGAAATGAAATGAAAAGATTCAAGAGTCCAAAACAGAGGCCTAACCAAACTGATAAAAGGTTGACAACACTGCTGAAAACCAGCCTTGATGCAGAGGACAAAACTAAGACATCATCTCAGGAAGCAGAGAAAATATGGACAAGATATGGAAAAAAGAGGAAGTTTAAGAACATACAAAAGGAGAGAAAATCGCAAAGATCCAACCTATGAATAAAATGTGTTGCAATGGGAAGTACAGAGTACAGACAAGACCATAAGTAGGGCCAGGACATAATAGGAACAAACTTACTAGATATGAAAAAGTGACTCGACATTAAAAAATAAAATGGATAGCCAGCACTTAGAAACCAATGCCATGAAGTGTACAACTTTTTTTCCTGTAAGCATCAAGTATTAAACTTAAAAATAAAAATAAAGTGTCAAGGTGGGGAGAGGGTTACCATTAATGCAACTAAAATCACATCATAGTCAATGTAACAGCAAGTTCTGCATGATAGCTGAGCAATACTCAGAATGTTAAGACAAGGAGAGTCAGACCCCAGATCTCTATGCCCAGCCAAGTGGTCGTTCCACAGCAAAGGCAACAAAAAATATTTTCCAATATCCAAGGTCTCAGAAAATACATTGTTTGTGTGAAAGTATTTTCAAAGACATTTGCAGGCCTTATTCAATCAGAATGAATAGCCGGGGCTGGAAATTGTATGTTGAACAAATTCTATGGTAGGTCCTAAGCATTTAGCCCAACCAGGAGGGCTGACCTCACTCCAGCACCACTGTCACACGCTGCTGAGAGATAAAATAACACACTTAGAAACCCAGGGTAGAGACAGACTAGCAACACTGAAGCCAGCTATCAGGGACATAAGGATTTTTTAGTAATGGCTTCATCCTGAAAATCCTCTGTGTGTGTGTGTTTGTATGTGTGTGTGTGTGTGTGTGTGTGTGTGTGTGTGTGTGTGTGTGTGTGTGTGTATTTCTTTTTCACTTATGGAAACAAAAATTAGAATGTAAATAACCTAAACCGCAAACTGTATTTCCTTCCTTTTATCTTTAAGTGATGCCACTTCCATCCTAAACTGTTTGTCTGTAGCTCGCCACTCTTTAAAGTGACTCACAAAAATAACGTAGAATAAAAGTTTCTCTTTTAATTGAAGTATATGAAAATAAGGGTAGGAAAAAAATGGATGCAGCAGCCACAGGTCCTGTACTCTTGCTAGAGGTAAACCATAGCCTAGCTCTGAGCAGCTTGCTGACAAAAGAAGGCAGGAAGATACAGTAAGATTAATAATGTACAACAGAGAAAAACAAGCTGGCTCTCAGGGGAACAGTCATGCCAGGGTACAAACTGAGAGACATGCCCCTGCAACAGGGACCCAGTGATGCAGAAGCAGCATTCCCATGGGTGGAACAACAGCGAGCTCCCTTTATATGATGGCCTTGTGCTGGTCATTCTCATGGCTTTGGGTTTCATGAACACAGTGAGTTAACAAAGTTCGACATGGGTTAAAAAATCAGTCTATGTTTTATCCTGAGATCATGCCAGACTATGTGGAGAAATGGTGGTCTGAAGCATACATCCCTCAGGCCAGAGTTCACAACAGCTCCCTAACTGCTTTCTGCCCTGGACCCGTTACGGTCTCTTCTCAGCACAGCAGCTAGAGTGGGCCTGTTAAAAGGTAAAACAGATCATGTCACTCCTCTGTTCAACGTCCTCCAATACCCCCATTTCATACAATGTCAGAGTCCTTCAAGGACCTAGAGCAAGGCCACCCTCATGTCCTTTTGGCTTCCTCCTCCCCCTCGTACTACTTTCCCTTGGATCTGTCTTTCTTCAGTGATCTGGACTGGGAAGGCATGCTCCTGTCTCAGGGCCTTTGCACATGCCATTCTCTCTGCCTGAACACTCTTGCCCAGATGTCCACATGCTTCACTAGACTCACCTCCTTCAAGTATTTACTCAGTGTCACTATCTCAGTGAGACCTTCCCTCACTGAGACAGGTCTATTCAAAACTGGAACTCTGCCCTCACTCTGCCCCTGTCAGAGTAGGCAGCTAGCTATTAATGAAAGAGAAGGGAGCAAACTAAGCCTCATTAAGTTGAGAAACAGCAGCCTCACAGTCACCCCAGCATCTTTCTACACAATATCCTGCTTTACATTCACCCTGGGAGGGAACTGGTATCATCTAGCTGGGTTAACAGGGGAAGGATGAAAGATGCAAAGGGAAATTCCATTTTACTAAGTGCATATGCAGTAGAAGCCAAAATGGAGACCATAAAAGGGGGAGGCACTAGCCTGGGAAAGTCTGGGAAAAGGATCAGATTGGAGAAGGTCATGAGACCCTGGAAAATCCAGGAGAGAGACTGGATAGTTTGAAAGAAAGCCTGCTCTTTTACAAACCCAAGGAAATACATGGAAACTTAGCCTGCCTGCTCTCTCTACCTCTCAGAATGTATTGTCACTTGTCACTTTTCACTCTAATAAATCTTGCCTCTCTCACTAAACTCCTCCTATGTGAGTGTCCCTGAAATTCTTTTCCTGCAACACCACAAAAGACTCCATTTCCTCTGGTAACACCCCTGTCTTTTTATTTCTCTTGCCTGCTTTTCTTTTCTCCTCAGTATAAAGTACATGCATCTTATTTATGTATCTGTTTTCTCTCTACTTAGCTACACCATCATTTCTATTAGGGGAGGAACTTACATTTGTTTTGTTCATGGCTGTATTTGATAGACCTAAGTTAGTGCCTGGCATAAGGTGGATACCCAATAAACACCTGCTCGAATTGAACAAATAAATCAGACTTGAGAATGAATTAAATGACAGAAAACTAAAGGTCAGATACTGTGCACTGGGAACTACACATTACTTACTGAAGGAAAAAGCCAAGAGTTCTGAGGTTAGGGCCGATGCTCTTAGGAAATATAAAGCAGCCTCACTGGAGAACAGCCTTAATCCCTGGTCACTCTGCTGTCCCCAGAGAGGGCCCAGAGGAGTACGGACAGCAACTCAGATTACATAAAGGAGGCCAAGACAAGCAAGAGGTAGGATGGTCAGTGCCTAAGTAACAAATTATTCATCTTCTCTGCTTTATAATCCTATATTCTTATTACTTATCCCATATAATTCAACGTATCTGAAATAAAATGGCCTTCTAGGGAAATAGAAAATGGCTATAACAGAGTTGTCAACAAAATATGTATGTACCAAAAAACTTGAATTATTCCCTCCCCCAAAGGTACCAGGTCCAGATGGTTTTACAAGTGAGTTCTTCCAAACTATCAAGAAATAGTAAATTTTCCCAGTCTTTGATTCTATAGTCGATGTTTATTACTATGTAATACTATGTAATAAAAATCTTTCTCTTTTTTCCATACTCCATATTGGTTTAGAAAGCTGGCATTGGCTGAACACAGGATGCCCACACATTCAAAGAAAAGGCATGCTCACTACACTAATGACTAAATATAAGAATCCCAAATAAAATACCAGCATATCATATTGTATGCAAGACCATATTAGATGAGTACCACTCAGGAGCTGTGGTGGAGGTTGTGGGGAGCAATCCAGGTCCCTTCTGCAGGGATCTTTACCTGTCCCAGCTCTTAAAGAGCTGTCTTTCCCAAGGCTGCACCCCAGCCAGAGTTGGCTCCCAAAACTAGTAACCATGGGGACAAAGTCCTGCTGCCTTG